CATTGCCCTGCACAATGAAATAATTTCAAACCAATCGCATCACCTGATAAGATCACTTGCAATCAGAATTTTGTGAACTCCTGGTATCGGAGCAAAACATATAATATGATCTTCCCTGATTTTCACAATACAGCACCACGCAGGTAGAGCTCTCTGGAAGTATTACTCATGTATTAAATTTGAATAAAGAAAACTATGACTGCTTACCTAGGGAGGAGTAAAAATCACTCGCACTCATTCCAAAACGATGTCAATTTTAAAGAAATTGCATGTAATAACTTACCGCTCCAATCGGTTTTTCGCTCGAGACATCAACCATCGCTTCATAGCTGGGTGGCAATTTAGGAGGAATCCACTTTGGCACCTCGCTACTGTCTTGCTTATGGAGGCTTCCACTTCCAGCGGTAGCCGTTTGGTTGTTGACAGCCATTTCTCGCAACTCAATGCAACATCCCGAAGGATCAGATGACGGCCTCTTCAATTGGCAACGAATAAGTTTTATGAATGAAATTATCAGGAACTGAGCCAAGCCGTGACAGCGTTTTTTGTAACGTTTTTTTTTCTGTGAAAACAATATTTTTCATTAGTGCACATACAACACTATCTGGTCTACAGTTTCCTAAATGTTCCTTTTATATGAATTATATTTCAGTCAAACTTCACGCTTATATAATGGATTCCACAACGACAAAAATAGGCGTTTCAGACATCCACATTTCTCATTTTCAATCGATTTCTCGTTTCCACAAAGCTACTCATGGTACTAAGGGTTTATAATTCATTAACGGTATCATAGTTTTGGGATCGATTTTCGGTGCCGTCATGAAGAACCAGAGGCCGTATCCTACCCCTCCCCAGGCAGGAGGAGCAGGAGGGGATCCCTTTAACTTCCCTACCTTTACCAACCAGGATAGCCCTAGAAAGAAGCTTAATTGAAAGTATGTGTGTGTAAAAGTAAGCATGTACTGAGAGTGAGGAAACAGTGCCGTTCACAACCGAAAAATGTGAGAAGATCTTCCCTTCCCTAGACCTCGGGAATTGTTGGGTACGGCCTCAGGGCAACGCTGAGGAGGAAATGGTAAGAGGCAATTAAAGCAGTGGTCACGACTTATCAAATAAACCAGTAAAACCCACCATAGATTCGAAGTTTTCAGAACGATTTTTCACGCGGCGGTGTTCTTCTGAAAAGGAGATGCGTCTTGACTTGAATGTTATGCAGGCTGCATCTAAAGTTCTCAGACTTTTATCTTTTACTATTCGCGAGCATTACATGCAGAAACTTTTGTTCGCATACAAAAAAAAGCTACGATCTTTCACCTTCAACAGCCACCCTTCTAATTAGCGAGCTTCCTTTACATCAGCAAGATATTCTTTAGATTGTTAGAATTCCATTCCATTTAAGTACCACTTCGCTCTTTTTACGCTTCCCTCGTACCATATACGTAATAAACACAACAGGACAAAATAGTGAACCTCAAATCATTCGAAGACAGCGAAAGTTTTCCAATGTCCTCTGCTGCCAAATCTTCTTTCTGTAGGACGTCCTCTATCGAATTTTCGTGTCACAGACCGTCTCCCCTGAACGACTCGGCATTGTGTTGCCTGGAACAGTTCAAAAAGTAGGTGATGATGGGACGGCCCTTCGAATGGTTTGACCCGATCTTGAAATCCAAATTTTCTCTCTGCAAGAATCCCATGACTAACCTGTCCCATGTCTTGGGAAGGCATTTCGCCGCTGTGAGATTTCTTATATTGTCCTGTAGTCTGTAGTCTAACCACGCACAAGCATCTCTCGGTGAGTCTGAGGACCAGTGCGCATTCTCACCATGATGGAGTTCGTCTACATAAAATACGTCCTCTGTTTTGTTGAACCCGTTCCTTGTATATTGTGTGCCTAGCTGGAAAGTTTATGTTGTGTAGATAGAGTAACTAAAAAACATCTAGGTTGAGGAAAATAACATTTGATAAATCAATGCCTTCACGCCATTCGCCCAGTAGCCTCCGCAACCACCATGAGCCATTCACAAATTCCACCTAAAAATGATAGAATGGCGAATCTGAGTCCAGCATAGATGCAAAAAAGATTTCAAGGCACTATTCAACTATTACAACCCAAAATTTCAAAATTTTATTTATTTTTTGTCGGAACTGCACATAGGGGTAATTCGGTGCCCTGATTACGAAAGTGACATTCATTTCCAGCGGTGGGATCGTCTCGTGTCACGACAGTTTCTCATTAAATTCGATATAAACTTCTGAGTAGGGGCAACTTGGTGTCCCGATAACAAATATGACATTCATTCTTGCGCCAGCTCCATTTGGCGCCTTATTCGTTCGTCGCCGCTCTCCTCTCATTCGACGGCGAACAGAACAAAGCGGAAAATTTGCAGCAAACAGCGCTGTTGTCAAAACGAATGTCATATTCGTGATCAGGACATCAAATAACCCTATACAGAACTTTACACGAATTTGGTGAAAACATGTGTCGTGACAAGGTGGCGCCAACTGGCGCCAGATGGCGCCACCGCCAAAAATGAATGTCATTTTCGTAATCAGGGCACCGAATTACCCCTATAGAGGAAGTTTCGACGAAAAATAAAATTTTGAGATTTTGGGGTTGTAATAGTTGAATAGTGCCCAAGATTTTATACTCGAGATCCGTAAGTTGGGGTAGGCGTGTCACCGGAAGTGACGTGTACTTGATAGAATCTATGTGGATAAGGGGCTTCCAATATACATCGCGAGATATCAGCAAAGCATGCTGGCAACGACTTATCTACGCAACTTCTATCAAGTCCACGTCACTTCCGGTGACACGCCTACCCCAACTTACGGATCTCGACTGTATGTGAATCAGGCGTCAACCCTATGTTGCTACAAGTAGCAACGGGGGGTCGTTCTTGGATGGACCCGGAGGGGGGTCGTACTCTCTCGGTGGCCGGCAGTAGGATTTGTGGTAATCTCCCTACTGATCATAACCATGTTTCAGGAAGAGCATGAGAAAGGAAGACTTGCAGAAACAGCAGCTGCAAGACATGTAGCATCGTTCAAAAAAGTACTCCCACCATGACATGGGTCCACCCACGAAACCACATTTGAAACTAAAGTGTAGCTGGAGTATTGCCTAAGACAACATGGACAATAGTCACCACATTACGTTTACGCAAGATAATTGATGCTAGAGCATCTGTAAGCCGCTTCCTTCTGAATGAGCTTTCAAATGAATCAGCGAATCAGGAGTGCGACCGAGGCGTGGCGCACACCAAGGCAGGGGGATCAGTGCAAGCGCATGCACAAAGCATTCTAACACATCCTATGGTCAGCACGATATCTTTTCCCTGGACGTTGCGGCCAGTGAAACCTAAAAAAACCGCTTTCTTAAGAGAATGGCTCGGAGAATGCCCCTCAAAAAATGTAGCAACGGGACTAATTTTTGAATTACTCACTTTTAAGAACCGTTTGGGTACTTTTTGAAAGCTTGAATCCTGTAGTTTCTCATACCGTGGTTCAGCTTCCCAAATAAATGAGTTTGAAGGAAGTTATGGTCGTTTAAAGCTTGAAAAGTCGCGGTTTCAGAAAAATAGTTCCGCGAACCCCCCTAAAATGTAGCAACGGGACTAATTTTTGAATTACTCACTTTTCAAAAACGTTTGGGTACTTTTTAGAAAGCTTGAATCCTGTAGTTTCTCATACCGGGTTCAGCTTCCCAAATAAATGAGTTTGAAGGAAGTTATGGTCGTTTAAATATTGAAAAGTCGCGTTTGCACAGAAAAAAGTTCCAACGTGTTAAATTTTTACTAAATTAGCTTTCGATGAATTTTCAGATATGATTGGAGAGAGAATGATTTGAATTTTTTATATCAAATAACTCCGACACAAAAGATCGAATATGAAGAAAGTTATAGCCCGAAAAAGAGGAAGGTGGAAATTGTAGTGCAAACTCATTTCCTGCTCAATAACTTAATTATTTCAGATTGTTTAAGAACAAATCCGCTCCACTTGAGAAGGATGACCCTTGCTGATCCAAAATCCACCTCCGTCTTGCGAGAAACCTGAAATTTTCCAAGGAAAAGTTCCTATACTTCTCGATTTCCCATTTCGACACCTGCTCCCATTCAACAAACGCGCCCCATTGCAGCACCCAGCGCGCGATTCAATACATTCGAAACCTGTCAACACGCGTTTCCACTACCTTCTCGGCATTCTCAATCATTTCCCCCACTTCTCCATAATATGACGCCACAACCCACCCGTTTTCTCCAGCGGAGAATGCTTAATGACGTACTCTGAATCTCCTATGAAAACTCACCAGTAGGATTTTGGGCACAATGTGGCTGGGGGACACTCTGTAGAACTCTGTAGAAACGTCTCTGGGACTAAGCCTGCGCATTTTGTTTAGTCCTGATCTCGTGAAGGATGTACTTCACTTTGATTAGTCCTGATCTCGTGAAGTTTGAAATGTTCTATTATTTTATACTTTTCCAGGGTGAAAAGAAACCTCATTATAGAGATAAAAGGAATAAAAAATTGGTATGAATTGTGTCTTCATAAAAATTAGACACAGGGGGGTCGTACCAAATCGCCCATGGAGGGGGGGGGTCGTAAAAAAATCCAGAATGTAGCAACGATAGGATCCGACCTTATGTGAAGAGATTCAACCGCAGAGAGGCGAGTATGGTAATGTATGCTATACGAAGTTATTACGGTGACACCGCCCAGCCGCCATTGCTAATTTGTTCCTTCGCCTAGCTTCCCTAAAGAGTGATGGTCCTTGAGATAAGGGGCAAAGCAGCTGTACTTCAACCGCTGGCCGGTGTCAGACTTTGCGATTGGAGCGATTTTGCACCAATTGCAGGACTCCTGCAAAAAAATTGGGGCCTAAATCGCCTCTAATCGCCGCAAAGTCTGACATCGGCCGCTAAACACACATCAAATTCAATGAAAAGACTTTATCAACAGGACATGCGATAGCTTGCATCTAAGCCTTATACGAGTAATGCGACTGCTCGCAATTGAGATAGGCTGGTATCAGAGTCCGTGATCAGTCGCAGGTTTCGCGCTATTCGCGCGGATCGCAAAAATTGCAAGTGCCCCATTTGAACATTTGAAACTCTGAATATGAAACAAGCAGAATCATGAAAGTCGTCGCGAAAGGCGCGAAACCTGCGACGGATCGCGGACTCCGACACCAGCCTACTGTCACAAGAATCTGAGGAAATTAATGGCACCTCAACCACAGCTCCTCTATCGAACGATAGTGTAGAGATTCCGGTGTAACCTCGTCCTGATCAACCATTATACAACCGATATCTTCGGAGATCAGGCTTAATTCACCTGTACGAGAAAATTCGATTGAAGCGCGGAGAGTAAGCTAAAAAGTACAATTGCTTTCATATGAATACTCAATAGTACCTCAGTGCTTTGGAAGCAGAAAGCGAAAAACCCAAAAAAAAAGGCAGAACAGGGGTAAACTCACAATGACGGGCGTAATCTGTTAGACAGCCAGGTCGACCAGATCTTCTTACTAGCCGTGCGTGTATATATTGAGGAGCGGCAATGTTTTTGATCAAACGCAGATGGTGGCTACTCAAGCACAGCCCGAGGTCCCCTCCCGTATATTGCAGTCTGAAGATTATTTTGAAATTACCTGGAGTTTTTTTTCGTAATTTACCATGAAAAAATTCATATAGATAAGAGATGACGAAGGAAAAGCTTGAGACTCGCCTCATCCAGACACCCATGGGCAACTCCAAGCCACCGTCGCATTGAAAAGCTTCTTTGTGGGTCTTAGAAAAAATAATGTAAAATTGAGTCTTATTCCCATTCATCTTTCGAAAAACAGCAATGGCATCCATGTTTACAATGGTCTGTAAAGAAAAAGAGAAACCGTACGACAGTACAACTGTAGTTACACGTCATACCTCGACAACTGATCGAATTCCCATTCTTTTCGTTTTCCCATGAGTGTCGCGACTGAAAATTATGAATTCAGAAGTGTGGTCAGCGCGACTGTATGAACTCTCAACACAGTGAACAAACAGTTCAATAAGAATATAGCAAGAAAATATGTAACGCCAATTACGAAAATCTCAATGAATAAGATTCACTGCACAGAAGAGAATATAATCAAAACACAG